CCTTTTCCGGTTATATAGTTTACGCCATAGTTATTGTATATATTATTATTTGTGTTGAGTCAAGAGAATCTCATTACATCTTGTGAGAAAGTTGTAACAAGCCAATCAAAGTGTTTGGATGTTTTTGCTAAAGACTATGCTAATTTCTGATAGAAATCTATTGAGTGGCAAACCTCCCTTAAACGTCGTAAGAGGCCACTTGACCAGAAGCGATAAGAGGCCGCTTATATGAGGCTGAATTGTACTCACTTCTGACCGTTTCTAAATGGACTCTACGGTTTCCTCCCATAACTTAGTTCCCGTGCTGGGACAATAGGTTTGGAGTGCGAATGATCATATTATTGCTTGTACCAAAGGCAGTCAGTGGTTACTATGTAACCTGGCTAGCTAACATTTTTTTTCTCCTTCGTCACATGGTCCCTATTCGCAACAGTCGTATCCGTATTTCGGCGAAAATTGATTTTGTGCGAGTCACAGGATTTTTGGTTAATGCGTAACATTGAAATATCTTTGAATTGAGACCCATCATATTCGTTGCCCTTCTGTTCAAATTGATTGCACTTTCTGTAAACTGAATCAATTGTTCTCTCTTTGCCTTTCTAAGTGTTGATTTTACTTCCTCATTATGAACTTGGACGCGGTCCTTCACAGTTAAACCTAAGCGACATCCGATTGTATCTGACAAATTAAGCGAGCTGGAATAGTCCGAAGGACTCGAGTTCACTTAAGTCCTGTTCTCACTACTTGATTTACAATTGACAGGATATGCAATAGATTCGTCACAGTAATGTCTTTTGTTTTTAGCCAAATTGAAAGCAAAGTGTTTCCTGCGAAGAAGTTAATCGTACTTGTGTACCAATGTTCATAATTTGTCAAGAGAGAGTAAAGCCATTACAGATTTAGTTCTTGTCTACCTAGAAAGACAAGACTCAGAACAAGATGAATTCAAGCGCATCTTCCAGTAGCGAAAACATAACTGAATGCAAAGGAAGGATTCTTCTTTCTTCTAATACCACAGAGGCCCGTGCGGTAACTGTTACCTTAATAATCGTGAGTTTAATTACTCTCCCCGTTACAAGTCTATTGAACGGACTTGTCATAATCGCTGTAAAAGCAAAATTTCGATTGAAAACCAAGTCCAATATAGCACTTGCATGCTTAGCGACCACAGATTGTTTCATGGGTGTGATTGGACAGCCTACTTTTATCGCAGTGAACATAGCAATTCTACAAGCTACATCTTCTAATACATACTGCTTCATAAGGCAACTATCGAGCGTCGTCATCACAGTATTAGCCAGAGCATCGCTGTTACACCTAGCTCTGATGTACCTAGACAGGTACATTGCCATAAAGCACCCGTACAGGTATACAAATATGGTCACAACAACTCGCATTCTCTGTTCTTCCGCGTTTGTGTGGATTGTGGCACTACTCTCGACTGTAACTTCTTCCCTCATTAACAACAAACTTTACAAACAGCTGACTGATGGCAACATAATCACGTTCTTCTGTACAGCCACAATTACTTTTTGTCAAATCGTCCTTTACTACGAGACTCGCCGTCACGAAAAACAAATCGCTGCTTGCCAAGTTTTAGAAAACGACAGGCAAAAATTCGTAAAGGAGAAGAAAGCACTTAAACTCACAACGACTGTTCTGTTTTTCTTAGTACTGACTTATTCGCCTGCGATTGTTGTTCGAATTCTTTTCAATAACTATTTCTTCGAGTCCTTAAATGCAGCACAAATTGCCTTAGCGATAGCGAGTTTTTTAATAAAACATAACTCACTTATAAACCCAATTATTTACTGTATTAGAAAGAGACAATTTCGGATAGCGTTTACTGAAATACTCTTCAGAAAAATTAATTTACAGCCTCGTACCCAGGCCTGTTCGCGCTATCCGAGTGACCAGAGGAGGCGAATTTTCCCGACAAGCTTGACAGGTGACGTCACATCCGAAATCGCCGAGGACGACTGGGGCTGAGTAATTTACAGGCTCAATAAACTAAAATGGGAGTTGATAGAGCAAGAGAAGGACTGAGGTGGTGAAGTCAAAGTAACAAACAGAAAAATTCAGTCAGGAGTGCCAACGGTTGAACGCGGCATCGCCGATAATGGCTGCGACAAGGGTTTTGAAGTCATATGCGACGCTTCGACAGCTCAATAAACTTTTCAGATGACTTTAATTTTCTACAGCCCAATTTTTAGCCAATTTTTTATTGACCATGCATCCTACAGAGCGAAAGAATATCTTGCGGATCATAGTCACTGTTTGACCTGCTGTTACTTACATGTACTTTACTTAGAGGTTTAACCAAGTAAATGTAAAAAATACAGGACGTTCTTGTATTTTTGTTTTTTTTGTTTTTTCAATTGAATGAATCATTAAGTGATAAATTTTGCTTAAAAGCGGCATTCGATTATAAATGGCAAATTATTAAAGCGAGTTGGAATAGTCTTGAGGGACTCAAGTTCACTTAAGTAGCGTTCTCACTACTTGATTAACAATTGACAGGATATGCACTAGATCCGTCACAGTAACATATCTTTTGTTTGCGACCAGGTTGATTTGCTGGCCTTTTAAAGACACTCTAAACTCAATCTACTTTTTCCATTTTAAGGGCTCTTTTGAATCTTCCACCTTGGATTACACATGACAATATGAAAATCACTTTCTTAAACAGAAACTAAATGTTTAGAATTTTGCTAAAAGTTAAGTGTACAGTTGAACCTCCATTAACCGGCCACCTATTAATCGATAAGTACCCAAAGTTCCGAAAATATTGTAGAATAGAGTTGTGAACTTTAGCTTAATCAAGCAGCCACGGCCTGGCCATTTCGAAAGTTTATAGACTCTTTATAGTATTGTTGGTGTTGAGTTGGGAACCTCATTTAAACCTCTGTTAAGCGGCTGCCTTTGGCCACTCCGACGCGAGTTCTCCTTATTGTTTTCAACCCCATTAAGTGGCCACTAAGCGTTTGATCCACTTTGGTTGGCTTTGTTTGGAAATATAATAAACGAAAATGCAGTTCGAGATAGATGGTGACGACTCATTTTGTACTCGTAAACTATACGTGTTACATTATACGTTTACAGACATTGCCTACATTTTCGGTTATAAAGTTTACGCCATAGTTGACAGCACCTTTTGTGTTCAGTTGATAGAACCTCATGCCATCATTACGAGGAGACTTTGCTTGTTAGTCAAAATACTGCAGTTTTTCTCAGTCTTACACCTGTCTCAAGTGCGAAAGTTGTGACAAGCCTTAAAAGCTGTTTGCTTCAGGATAAAGTGATGTTTTTGCGAAAGAATAAGTACCTTTTTAAGCATCTTAAGCGGCCACTCGCCGGAGTAGCGACAAGAGACCGCTTAATGAGGTTCAAGAGTACTCATTTCCAGTGGTTTGTTATGAATTAATTTCTGGTGAAAAGCAAGTTGTTTTGTTTTGGCAGAGTGTTCCTTTGTTCCCAACACTCACAAAAAGCAGAGTAATGTTACTTAAAAGAACCTTAATATTCGCTACGGCCTCTTACCAAATAATTTGTCTCCTAAGTGCTGTTCGAAGCAATGTGTTTACTCTGAAAAAAAAAAAAATAATCGCACTTGCGTACTTATGTTTACCAATTGTTTAAAAAGAGCTAAAGTCATTGCGTCTGATCGATATAAAGCTAGTTCCTCATTACCTCGGAAAACAAGCCTCAGAACAGGATGAATTCAAGCGCACCCTCCAGTAACGAAGACATAACTGGCTGCGAAGGAACGATTCTCGTTTCCAACACCACAGAGGCTCGTGCGGTAACTGTTATCTTAATTATCGTGAGTATAATTACCGCCCCTGTTACAAGTTTGCTGAATGGCCTTGTGATAATCGCTGTGAAAACAAAAATCCGATTAAAAACCAAGTCCAACATAGCACTTACATGCTTAGCGACCACAGATTTTTGCATGGGGGTGATTGGACAGCCTATTTTTGTCGCCTTGAACATAGTAGTTTTACAACAAGAGACGTCTTATACATACTGCCTCATAAGGAAACTATCGAGCGCCGTGCTCACGATCAACGAGCACGGGCAACGATCTTACACCTTGCTCTAATGTACCTAGACAGGTACATTGCCATAAAGCACCCGTACAGGTATACAAATATGGTCACAGCAACTCGCCTTCTCCGTTCTTCCGTTTTTGTGTGGATTGTGGCACTGCTCTCAACTGGAACTTCATTCTTAACTAAAAACATACCTTTAAGCCAGTTAACTAAAGTTAGCATGATAATTATGTCGTCAGGTGTAGCCATTATTATTTTCTGTCAAGTTGCGCTTTACTACGAAACTCGCCGTCACGGAAAACAAATCACTGCCAACCAAGTTTCGGAAGACAACAAGAGAAAATTCTTAATGGAGAAGAAAGCTCTTAAACTCACAACGACAGTTCTTTTAGTCTTAGTACTGACTTATTTGCCTTTGATTGTTGTTACTATACTTTATGGAATCTCCTTCATAGAGTCGATAAATACAGTACACATTGCTTCTACAATAATTGTCTTCCTTGTACTGATTAATTCGTTTATAAACCCAGTTATTTACTGTATTAGAAGAAGACAATTTCGGGTAGCTTTCATTGAAATACTCTTCAGAAAAAGCAATATACAGTCTCAAGAAATTGGAATGCAGGTTATAATTAATGGAGCACGAGAAGGACTGAGATGGCGAAGTCAAAATAAAGAAGAGGAAACATCACGCAGCACTGCCAACAACACAGTTGAATGTGGCATCAATAATATAGGCTGAGACAAGGATCAATACAGCAATTTAGCCAGCATTATAAACAGTAACAATGAAGGTGACTACAGCATTGGCGACAATGAAATTGACAACAGCGACATCAGCATTGGCGGCAAAAATGACAACAGAGAGCTTTAGATTCAAAGACGAGAACGATTACGAGTACGAGATTTTCTCAATAGTAAGTAGTGCTCGCGCGTGACGCAGCGTCATTTTGGCGGGAAAAGGGGGTAGCCGTCGTCATTCTACTACGAGTTTTAGCAAGAATGTCGTAGTAGCGGCAACAAGTTATCATTTCATTTTCATTTATTTGTTTATTCAGATATTTACAATTTTAATTTTCTCACTGTCAGCAAATAGCAAAGGCTAGTCTAGGTGGGCAGTGTCTATATAAAACAAAATACGCACTCCAAATGATATTATTATGTGGAGCTCAAGAACACACGTCTACACAGTACCAGAACATGCGCATTTTTCAAATGTTATCAAATGTTAGAAGCTTTATCATTTTGCAATAGAGAGAGGTCTTAACCTCCTTCGATAAACGATAACAGTGCTAACTTTTCTAATGAAAAAAGGGAAAATGAAGAATTCCGGGGTGTGTATTTTTCACAATATGCGAAAAAACTTTAAATCAAATCTCATACTTGTAGTGGTTCTCGTCCTCACATGCATCTAAAGGTCTCTAACAAGGTCACAACAATAATGGTAACATTGGCATCGCCACTGGTGACAACAATGGCGACAATAACGCTTGTAACAGTAACAACGACAATGTCGATAATGACAATAATAGCAGTGATACCAACATTGGCGAAATGTTAAAATGAATTTACAAATATAAAAGGCTGTAGATTGGAAATCTCTCTTATTAATATTAATAGATTATTCACACTAGAGACGGATCATCCGTCTGAGACAACTTATCCGTTGGGTAATTCTTAATTTGAAAACCGAACGGTTTTAATTTTGGATGAACAATCCGCCTGACTTTATCCAAATGTCTATCTGTCAATTTTGACAGATTTTGAAGATGGATTATCCGTCTCAGACGGATAATGCGTCTCCAGTGTGAAAACGGCCAATATTAATAATATCATTAATAATACCGTTTTCTTTAATTGAAGATCTGGATACGCTACTGAATATTACTGAGTCACAAAGCTGATTTTGAAATACCATGCATATTATCAGCAAATTACATTTTGCGTTATTACATTATGCGTAGAACAAATATCACATTTTGCGTTGAAAGATAACTACATTTTGCGTTAAAAATTTTATTATATTTTGCGTCAATGTTATTTCATTTTGCGTTAGTATTACATTTTTGGGGCCGATTATTACATTTTGCGTTAGTATTACAGCTTGCGGCGATTCTTATAACATTTTGCGCTAGTATTACAGCTTGCGGCGATTCTTATTACATGTTACATTTGTATTACAGTTTGCGGTGATTATTACATTTTGCGGTGATTCTTACAGTTTGCGGCGATTATTACGTTTTGCGTTAACTTTACATTTTGCGGCGTTTATTACATTCTGCGTTAGCATTACATTCTGCGGCGATCATTAATATTGGGCAACAAAAGAAACCGCGAGAAAGGTAGATGTTTTTCTGCATTTGTGATTTGGGCCAAATAAAGTGAAAATCATTGGGGAAATTTTTAACGGTATGTTTTCTTACCGCAAAAAAGCCTCAGTCCAAAACTTGGTTAGATTTGAGCACATTGGAAAATTAGCAATATCTCTAGGTGCCGCTTTTGCAGTGAGCCCTTCAGAAGGGATAGTGCCAGAACGACACCATACTCAGATAATTTTTGAAAAGTGCTGCAAAAGTTACAAAAACATGAATTTCGCTTTTAATACAGAAACATTTTGCAAAAGGTTCTGCCTATGCAAAACACACCCACTTTACAATCGGCGAAAAAAAAAATTCCCTCCACCTACCCCAAAGGCAAAAATAGTCTCTCTCCCCCGGACAATGTTGTTCTTGGTTGATTACAGTGAACTGTCATAATATTGGATAAATTATTTTAGAATTAACATGTGACGCGATGTACATTATCAAACAAGGTCTTAAGCTGGCGTAAGGCTTCACTTCAGAAAGCCGCATGTACTCTACAACATTGAAACTAGGGGGGAGGGGAGGGGATACTGCGGCAATATATGATTAGCCTAGTGCAAAGAAGGGGATGTTAAACTTTGTAACAATACTCGGTTTCACACCAGAAGCTAAGTTAGTTTCAAGTAAGCACTTGATTCAAGTGCACCTGAAAACAAAGTCGCTCTGTAAAAAACATAGCGTCACTTTTGTTGACAAAGTATATTACTTGAACTTTTACGGTTAAAACCCTTTGAGTTGAAAGTAAAGATAAAATAAATACAAAACTACAAAAAGCTCTTTTCCAGCGTAAAGACCTCACAGTTTTAGCTTTTGTCGCGATCAATCACGTTTGTGATATGCATAAATGATTTTACTGCGAAAGATGCTCGGGAGCGGCAGAAAAATAAACAACAAAACAAAAGACAAGCGAAGTCTTCCCCAGTATTTCACTAGAATGGTTGAACAACGCGCTTTTTGGCAAAGAAATCGCCGTAGGGCTTGGCCTCTTCTGCAAAGCTCTTGGCTAACTATGCTGAATGTATGTCCGTTCATTAGAGTCTTGGAACTGCTGCTCGTGCACATCGTGCACATGGCTTCCATTTCCTATTGGTCAAGTGACTCTAAGTGTGGCGTGGTCACCAAGTCAAGTTGAAGTAGGTGCATTTTATCCCTTTACACTCAAAGTACGTTCCAAGTACGCCTAGATTATACTTGAGAGCTCTAGTGTGAATCAAACAAATGACACGGAGTTTTGGGAATGAGTAACTTTGCTTCTAGTGAGAAAACGCACAACGCATGCTAAATCCGAATCAGCGAGCACGCTTCACTGTTTGGTGAAAGAAACACATGGTTTTGTTATGTAAGACACTTTTGTATACCTGCCAACTTTACATTTTCCGGCGATTTTTACATTTTGCGTTAGTATTTGATTTTGCGGTAACTATCACTTTTATACATTACGTATTACATTTTGCTTTGAGGCGGTTATTACATTTTGCGGCGATTCTTAGTACGTTTTGCGTTAGTATTACATTTTGCGGCGATTCTTAGTACGTTTTGCGTTAGTATTACATTTTGCGGCGTAACACACACACCTATTGTTCAAAGAGAACAAAAGCCAGAACAATACTAAGCCTTTCGGATTTGAGCTATTATTTTAAAGAGTTTTACATAGTTATTAGAGGAGACTGGTTATGAAAAGCGGCAAACATCAATGATAAAAACAACAGTGCTGCAGTTTATGTTCAAAGCACCGTGAAAGTGCACAATCCTTTGTTTTCTGTTGGCAAATTGTTACGTAATAAATTAATGCAACGTTTTTATTGGTCAATACAATCAAAATGATAGCAATTCTTTTGAACGTTGTGCACTTTCAGGTCCACAAAAACATATAACAAAGGAGTCTGACGGGTTTCATAACCATTCCACTCAATTAACTATGAGTTTTATAATTTTTTTTCTAAATCTTTTTTAAACGCCTCAAATTTGGCGATTTTTGCTACAAAATAAAAACTTTTCGGAACAAATTTAGCACAATTTTCGCTTTCCTAAACCTAACAATGAAATTGATTCAGTTCCGAAATATTGATAAACAATAAAAAATTGCAGCGTTGAACATTAAATGCACTAATCTATCCACCGAAAATAACAGAGCAATAGAAACCTGAAGAAAGTGGTCGGTGAGAGAGTGAAAGGCGGCAAAAAAGAAATAGTAAAAGAAAAAGAAATGACAGAAACTGAATTGAATTATTAATGCAGTAACGCATTTACTACCGATGTATATATGCAATAATCTAGGGAATTCGCCATTTTTTTGGAAGACAATGGTTGTCTTTACACTAGGCCGTTAAGTAAGACTTAAGAGCTGCTAAGTTTCACTTAATCAAATATACGTGTGTGAAGGCCTAAGTAAAATCTCAAGTTACTTTACTTTGAATCTCAATAAAGTCGGAAAGTTAAAACGACTCAAGAAAGTTTCAAGTGACTTGAAAACCATCCTTAAAACGGACTTAGCGAACTTGCCGTTTCTTGAGCTTTGAGAAAGGCGAATCATGTCTATCAGTCTTAATAATGACGTTGCGTCGGAAAAAGGCCTTTTAAGTTAACCTGAAGTAAAAACGAAACAGTTGTGTGTGAAGCTTCCTTTACTTGACAAATTTAACATTAAAAGTCTTGAAATGATTCTTAGCTTATTTAGGCTCTAGTGTAAAGACTACCAATGAGGTGGGCACATGTAGATTTTGAGATTGAGTGCATAATTAGGCTATGTACATCCTAGAGCAGATGGCTTTTTGTACTGCCACGAAAAACTATCCAGTAGAGTGTTAACACCTATCCGATATGTGACCCTCCACTTTAGAGATCGGCGCGGCGCAGCTTCGCTCCTTCACAGAAATGGCGCCAAAATCACCGTTCTTATGTGTAAACAGAAGCCGTATCTGGTATGATTTTCGTGCCGGGGCAAAAAGCTATTCGGTACAGTGTGAGCATAGCCTTAACCCTTTAAACCCTGAGATCAAAATTTGAATTCTCATTTGTTGCCCCTATTCATTTCCTACAGAAGTAGTGGGGAGAAGTTGATGAAATATCAAGCAAATGCATCTTGTGTGATCATGTCTGTGATTCTCATGACCACTCTGTTTTACAAAGCATTGATATTACAAGGAGAAATTTGATGCTGATCACTTTTAGGGCTTAAAGGGTTAATGTATGGGGTTGTAAGGAAATTTTTCCAATTTGTCTCCTAAGCGCGGTACGAAGCAAAGTGTTTCCTGGGAAGAAGTTAATCGTACTACTTTCAGGTGCACTTATGTATATAAAGGGGCAATTTGCATGATAGTGTCATTTTACTGCAACTACTAAAATCATTTCGTTTTTCCTTTCCACACATTTAAAGCTGAAAATCCCAACGAGGTATAAATAACAAAAGCCCTAATTTCCACTAGAAGAAAAACCCTGAAGGATTCTGGTAGTAGTAGCCAAAAGACGTCATCGTGCATATCGCCTATTGTCAAGAGAGATTTAAAGCCATAACGCCTAAAAAGGTTTCAGCTTACTTCGAAAAGGCAAGGCACAAATCAAGATGAATTCGAGCGCAGCCACAAGCAGTGTACAATGCGAAGCACGGATTTTTGTGTCTAACACCACAGAGGCTCGTGCAGTAACTGTATTCTTAATAATCATGAATATAATTACTGCCCCCGTTACAACTTTATTGAACGGACTTGTGATAATCGCCGTGAAAAGAAAACATCGATTGAAAACCAAGTCCAGTATAGCACTTGCGTGCTTAGCGACCACAGATTGCTTCATGGGCGTGATCGGACAGCCTATGTTTATCGCCTTGAACATAGTAGTTTTACAAGTCGAGTCGTCTTATACATACTGCCTTATAAGGCAACTATCGCTCGCCGTTCTCACGGTATTAGGCAGGGCGACGAACTTACACCTAGCCCTGATGTTCCTAGACAGGTATATTGCCATAAAGTACCCGTACAGGTACACAAATATGGTCACAGCAACACGCATTCTCTGTTCTTCCGCTTTTGTGTGGATTGTGGCACTACTCTCGACAACAACTTCATTCTTACCTAAAAAATTACTTGCAAGCCAGTTAAGTAATGTTAACGCGGTCATTATATCGTCAGGTGTAGCCATTATTGTTTTCTGTCAAGTCGTGCTTTACTATGAAACCCGCCGTCACGAAAAACAAATCGCTGCCAACCAAGTTTCAGAAGACAACAAGAGAAAATTCTTAATGGAGAAGAAAGCGCTTAAGCTCACCACGACAGTTCTTTTCGTCTTGGTACTGACTTATTTGCCTTTGATGCTTGTTTTTATACTTTATAGAATCTCCTTCATAGCGTCGTTAAATGCAGTACGTATTGGTATCTTTTGTCGCGATCAATCACGTTTGTGATATGCATAAATGATTTTACTGCGAAAGATGCTCGGGAGCGGCAGAAAAATAAACAACAAAACAAAAGACAAGCGAAGTCTTCCCCAGTATTTCACTAGAATGGCTGAACAACGCGCTTTTTGGCAAAAAAAATCGCCGTAGGGCTTGGCCTCTTCTGCAACGCTCTTGGCTAACTATGCTGAATGTATGTCCGTTCATTAGAATCTTGGAACTGCTGCACGTGCACATCGTGCACATGGCTTCCATTTCCTATTGGTCAAGTGACTGTAAGTGTGGAGTAGCCCATATTTGGCGACGAATTTCGGTTACTCTGAGCTACGAATGCTTGCGTGGTCACAAAGTAAAGTTGAAGTAGGTGCATTTTATCCCTTTACACTCAAAGTACGTTCCAAGTACACCTAGATTATACTTGAGAGCTCTAGTGTGAATCAAACAAATGACATGGAGTTTTGGGAATGGGTAACTTTGCTTCCAGTGGGAAAACGCACAACGCATGCTAAATCCGAATCAGCGAGCAGGCTTCACTGTTTGGAGAAAGAAACACATAGTTTTGTTATGTAAGACATTTTTGTATACCTGCCAACTTTACATTTTCCGGCGATTATTACATTTTGCGTTAGTATTTGATTTTGCGGCAACTGTCACATTTATACATTATGTATTACATTTTGCTTTGAGGCGGTTATTACATTTTGCGGCGATTCTTATTACGTTTTGCGTTAATATTACATTTTGCGGCGTAACACATACACCTGTTGTTCAAAGAGAACAAAAGCCAGAACAATACTAAGCCTTTGGGATTTGAGCTATTATTTTAAAGAGTTTTATATATTTTTTTTTCTAAATCTTTTTTAAACGCCTCAAATTTGGCGATTTTTGCTGCAAAATAAAACCTTTTCGGAACAAATTTCGAACAATTTTCGCTTTCCTAAACCTAACAATGAAATTGACTCAGTTCCGAAATATTGATAAACAATAAAAAATTGCAACGTTGAACATTAAATGCGCTAATCTATCCACCGAAAATAACAGAGCAATAGAAACCTGAAGAAAGTGGCCGCTGATAGAGTGAAAGGCGGCAAAAAAGAAATAGTAAAAGAAAAAGAAATGACAGAAACTGAATTGAATTATTAATGTAGTAACGCATTTACTACCGATGTATATTTGCAATAATCTAGGGAATTCGCCATTTTCTTGGAAGACAATGGTTGTCTTTACACTAGGCCGTTAAGTAAGACTTAAGAGCTGCTAAGTTTCACTTAACCAAAGATACGTGTGTGAAGGCCTAAGTAAAATCTCAAGTTACTTTACTTTGAATCTCAATAAATTCGGAAAGTTAAAACGACTCAAGAAAGTTTCAAGTGACTTGAAAACCATCCTTAAAACAGACTCAGCGAACTTGCGGTTTCTTGAGCTTTGAGAAAGGCGAATCAAGTCAATCAGTCTTAATAATTACGTTGCGTGGGAAAATGGCCTTAAGTTAACCTGAAGTAAAAACGAAACGGTCGTGTGTGAAGCTTCCTTTACTTGACAAATTTAAAATTAAAAGACTTGAAATGATTCTTAGCTTATTTAGGCTCTAGTGTAAAGACTACCAATGAGGTGGGTACATGTAGATTTTGAGATTGAGTGCATAATTAGGCTATGTACATCCTATAGCAGATGGCTTTTTGTACTGCCACGAAAAACTATCCAGTAGAGTGTTAACAGCTATCCGATATGTGACCCTCCACTTTAAAGATCGGCGCGGCGCAGCTTCGCTCCTTCACAGAAATGGCGCCAAAATCACCGTTCTTATGTGTGAGCAGAAGCTGTATCCGGTATAATTTTCGTGCCGGGGCAAAAAGCTATTCGGTAGAGTGTGAGCATAGCCTTAACCCTTTAAACCCTAAGATCAAAATTTGAATTCTCATTTGTTGTCCCTATTCATTTCCTACAGAAGTAGTGGGGAGAAGATAATAAAATATCAGGCAAATACATCTTGTGTGATCATGTCTGTGATTCTCATGACCACTCTGTTTTACAAAGCATTGATATTACAAGGAGAAATTTGATGCTGATCACTTTTAGGGCTTAAAGGGTTAATGTATGGGGTTATAAGGAAATTTTTCCAATTTGTCTCCTAAGCACTGTACGAAGCAAAGTGTTTCCTGGGAAGAAGTTAGTCGTACTACTTTCAGGTGCACTTATGTATATAAAGGGGCAATTTGCATGATAGTGTCATTTTACTGCTACTACTAAAATCATTTCGTTTTTCCTTTCCACACATTTAAAGCTGAAAATCCCAGCGAGGTATAAATAACAAAAGCCCTAATTTCCACTAGAAGAAAAACGCTGAAGGATTCTGGTAATAGTAGCCAAAAGACGTCATCGTGCAAATCGCCTATTGTCAAGAGAGATTTAAGCCATAACGCCTAAAAAAGTTTCAGCTTACTTCGAGAAGACAACGCACAAATCAAGATGAATTTGAGCGCAGCCACCAGCAGTATACAATGCGAAGCAAGGATTTTTGCGTCTAACACCACAGAGGCTCGTGCAGTAACTGTATTCTTAATAATTATGAATATAATTACTGCCCCCGTTACAAGTTTATTGAACGGACTTGTGATAATCGCCGTGAAAAGAAAACATCGATTGAAAACCAAGTCTAGTATAGCACTTGCGTGCTTAGCGATCACTGATTGCTTCATGGGCGTAATTGGACAGCCTATGTTTATCGCCTTGAACATAGTAGTTTTACAAGCCGAGTTGTCTTATACATACTGCCTTATAAAGCAACTATCGCTCGCCGTTCTCACGGTATTAGGCAGGGCGACGAACTTGCACCTAGCCCTGATGTACATAGACAGGTATATTGCCATAAAGCACCCGTACAGGTATACAAATATGGTCACAGCAACACGCATTCTCTGTTCTTCCGCTTTTGTGTGGATTGTGGCACTGCTCTCGACAGCAACTTCATTCTTACCTAAAAAATTACTTGCAAGCCAGTTAAGTAATGTTAACGCGGTCATTATGTCGTCAGGTGTAGCCATTATTATTTTCTGTCAAGTCGTGCTTTACTATGAAACTCGCCGTCACGAAAAACAAATCACTGCCAACCAAGTTTCAGAAGACAACAAGAGAAAATTCTTAACGGAGAAGAAAGCGCTTAAGCTCACCACGACAGTTCTTTTCGTCTTGGTACTGACTTATTTGCCTTTGATGCTTGTTTTTATACTTTATAGAATCTCCTTCATAGCGTCGTTAAATGCAGTACGTATTGGTANTTCCGCTTTTGTGTGGATTGTGGCACTGCTCTCGACAGCAACTTCATTCTTACCTAAAAAATTACTTGCAAGCCAGTTAAGTAATGTTAACGCGGTCATTATGTCGTCAGGTGTAGCCATTATTATTTTCTGTCAAGTCGTGCTTTACTATGAAACTCGCCGTCACGAAAAACAAATCACTGCCAACCAAGTTTCAGAAGACAACAAGAGAAAATTCTTAACGGAGAAGAAAGCGCTTAAGCTCACCACGACAGTTCTTTTCGTCTTGGTACTGACTTATTTGCCTTTGATGCTTGTTTTTATACTTTATAGAATCTCCTTCATAGCGTCGTTAAATGCAGTACGTATTGGTACTGTAATAGGAACCTTTCTAATACTACTTAATTCGCTTATAAACCCAGTTATTTACTGTATTAGAAGAAGACAATTTCGGATAGCTTTCGTTGAAATACTCTTCAGAAAAAGTTATGTACAGGCAAGCCGAGAAGGACAGAGATGGCGAAGTCAAAATAAAGAACAGGAAAATTCACGCAGCACTGTCAACAATTCGCAACACAGCTGAATGCGGCATCAACAATATTGACTGCGACAGGGATCAATACAGCAATTCTACCAGCATTACTTATACCAACAGTAAATATAAAGGTGACAACATCATTGGCGACAATGAAATTGACAACAGCCACAACAGTATTGGCAGCAACAACGACTATGATAACCGTCACAACAATAGTGATCACAATGGTATGACCATTGCTGACAACAATAGCGACAATATTGTTTGTAACAGTAACAACGACAATGACAATATTAATGATATATGAAATAAATCATATATGAACTGCGGTGACAATGACAATGATAAGGTGGGACCAACATTGGTGAAATGTTAAACTGACTTTACAACTATAAAAGACTGCAGATAGGAAAACTCCAAGACGAACGCTGCAATTATTTAACTGAATTTTTTTATCTCGGCAAAGTTGTGACTCTAATCACAGAATGCGCATGAAGGCCTAGCTTCGGCCGTTGCCATTCTTCTGGCAACCGATTAGTGTCCCATGTAAATAATAAACAACCAAAATTAAAAACACGTTAAATTTTTCGATCATGGAACTGGGACAACCACTGAAGAGATTCTTTTGTTTGTTTGTTTGTTTGTTTGTTTTAAGCTCTGAACAAAATATGTCACACCCCTCTCATAAAAAAATGAAAAAAAAGTTGTTGCGCGAAGTTCGAGTTAGCGAGGGTTCGAGTTATCGGGAGTCAGCAGTATAGAAATCTTTCTCCGCTTATATTGCAGTATCATGTAACAATATCGGAAAGTTGGCAACATGGTATTACAGCTTCTGCCGGCGTGACAAGAATTCATTTATCCTTTGCTCCAAACGGCAAAAAAGCTACACAACAAACATAATTTGGACAGGACTGCCGCTTTTCCCGGACTTTTCACTGACCTTTTAACCACTAGTAACCCAGCTTATTATACATGGGGCCTAAAATGGTTGGCTGGGGTCTGATATGAGGGGTGTAATATTGAAAGTTTCAACCTTATATGCGCCACAGAGCTTGCGTGCGAATACAGCCGTCTCGCCGATGGGGGCGTTTTACGTTTCTCCCCCGTGGAAAATCTCTAGGAGCGAGGACATATGGTTGTATTCGCACGCTACTAACGACCGTATAAATTAAAGGAAGACTGTTCCTACCTCGAGAAACTTTCGCCACAGCTTGGTAGCCGAACCAAAAAACCAGTGTAAGAGAGATTCGAAATCGATCACGTGATGAGCTATGAACCTTCGCCTTCTGACACATCCATCAAAGAGCGCTTTAAGAACCTGGCGGCTCCACAGCAACGTCTTAAGTAGATCAGAAGAATACTCCTAAAACATAACACAATCGTCAAAGGTAATTTAATTCGACTTAAAAAAAAGAGGGGATGCGGTATGTTGCTCAAGCAGGCTGCTAGCCTGCGTGGCAGGCGTTAAAAGGGAAGGGGGAATTTGGGCGCGCGAGAGCGCGCGGTCCCCCTCCCCACTTCCCCTTAATTCCAGCGGGTGACAATCATTTTTTCCCTTTGTTGTTGAGATGATATAGAGATAATGGGCGCTTTACTGAAGTCATCTTTGCTTAATTAGCTGGGCTATTTGACTAAAATAAACAAATAAAACCATGAATGAATTTTTAACACTAGCAGATTTTACTAGACCTATGCAATTATAAAAACGTGACAACAGTAGGAGGTAACTGTGAAAAAGAATGCTGATTCAACTGAACCTGTGTAAAAGAGTACGATCTATTGAGAGTGTTATATTTTAAAAAAGATAAATAAAAGAAGTCTGGTTGCCCCAGCGACCTGTTGAGGCAAACACTCAAATATAAACTCAGACTGCCCCAAGAACAACTACTCGATCAATAAGGTATGAAATAAACTGTTCACAGTCCTCTATTTTCTACGAAGATCGTCAGGATTAATAGTCTGCTCCTTGCGTGACGACACAAAGAACGGCTGTGAAGGTAAAATGTGAAAGTAATAGGTGAGAAGGAGCGGGTCGCCCGACGGAGAGACGCGAGGGGAGAGGGAGCTCTCACGTCGCGTGTCTCCCTCGCGCACCCCCTTCTTTCTTGCGTCCATTACTTTCAACAAGCGCCTGGTACGCAGCTATCAACGACGCATTCGACCGTCAGCAAAGCCGTGGCTGTTCGATGCGCCCTCGCCACCCTTCCTCCGCGATGGTGAGCACCGGGGGCGCATCGTTACACCCACGGATGGAGACTAAGCCTACCGCCAGCTGTTCGGGAACAAAAATTTGTGTATGACCTCACAAATGATCAAAAGCCAAAAGCACACGCCTACGATCTGACATCCGACGAAAATGAATTTGTCCGTCATTATAGCAAGTCTAAAGAGAATGGCATACTATTTTCTAACATTCGTCAGCAATTGTTCGTATCTGAATTCTTGATTATAGCATAAAGCCCTTACCGCTAATCAAGTAACTGATAACAAAACATTTGGTAGCCCGCAGTGTATGCGTATTCAGTCAGCAGTTACCTTAAGAACTGCAGAAGTAAAAAGAATGTCACATGTGAACAGCGCTGTCAAACAGCGGGCGTGATTGCAATCTGAGAGCCAATCAAGAGGCAGATACCCAAGAACCTGCAAAATAAAAGGAAAAGTGTCAACAGGGAATAAATTGGCAGACAGCAGAAAGCACTTGCAATCCCAAAGTCGGTTGAAATAAATGGGCAGTACACATCGAAAGAAACACTCCTTTACGTGTTTGATAGATCACGGGTACTCGTGATCGAGCATTCCATAAGTTTTGGCGGATTTGTCTTCGCATAGTGCGCGGAGGTTTACCTTTAGAATTCGGTTGGATTCGGCAGCCGACACATTGACGACAGAATCCTCGGCAAGTAGAACACTTCCTGAGATGTCAGTGAGCTCACAACCAAGTGCATAAAAATCCTTTAAGTTTCCTACAGTTTGTCCCTGAATTTCTCCCGTCTCTTTCACTTTCTCTTCGTCAACATTATCTTCATCGAAACTATCATCGTCTAAAACAAGAAAAGAAAATTGCTTTCTAGCATAAGCACTAGTAAGGAATGGGCTGACAAAAGAGCATTCAAAACATATGACAATTTAAAGTACTGTTGTTGGTCGCAAAGAGAATTTACTGACACGTGAGAGCAATGCAGTGATTTTTTTTTCTAAAGAAGTAACACATATAATTTACCATTTGCGCCGTCATTAACTTCCTCTCCTTCCTCTTCTTCCATCTCATCTCCACCATAACTTTCATCTTCCTCCACGGGGGCATCATCGTCACTATTTTCCTCAAAATTTCTTCCTTGAAGTTTGTTTTCAGCGGTTGAGATATCCACTATGGCCACTATATCAGAGAGAGCTTTCAACAGCCTTTTGCCTAAACCCTTTGAAGTACTACAGGAGAAAAAATGTCAAAGACGTAAAATCGAGAAATAAGAGGAAAGCGCAAACGATCAAGATCGATTTGCTCTTTTCAAAGTATTTGAGAGGGCCCTCAAATCCTTGCTTAATCCTGTAAACTTAGCCTACGAAAACATCCGTTTCTCCTCGCTCTTCGCCGATGGGGACGTTTCGCGCGGAGGAACGTCTGCGACTCAGCGACAGAAATTCCATACTGATGACGTAAAATCTGTCCGGAATCCGGTCGGAAGCGCTGATTGGTCGACGGAGTAGTTACATTGTTTTGGCTAAAAAGGCCAAAAAGGTCATGTAAACGCGAAGAATCTCTAGCAAAACAGTCAATATTTGTGGAATGTAGTCTTCTCTTGAAGAAGCATTTGAGTTTTGCTGGAGCTCGTTGGCAGATGAACACAACACTTTACCAAAATCGACCAGAAGACACGTAAAATTGGACAAATTTGTATTTGGAACCCCATGACTACCGCATTCATTATGTAAACATTGATTTGCGTTATCAGTATGGAATTTCTGCTGCTCAGTCGCAGACGTTCCTCCTCGCGAAAAGTCCCCAGCGGCGAAGAGCGAGGAGAATGGAAGGTTTTCGCAGGCTACCATAAACTAGGCTCTATTTCGAAAAACGAAATTGTCCATTTTCAGGTTCGGGGTACTTACCATTTATATGGGGAAACGGAAATTCCGGGTGGAAAATAAAATGGTTTGTGCCATTCCGATTGGGAAGCTTAAGAAAATATGGGCTGTGATTTGAGGGCGATATAATTTTTCCACTCTTTTTCGTCTGTTCAGCTGATTTGGATGTATTTTGTAGCGGGTTGTTCTCCCACCACGTCAAATTTTATAGTTTTATGTTTATGCAAAAGGTTTATACCCGAATGGTTTGTGTAAATGGTAAACATCCCCAGTCTTGTTGTGTCATATTGCACTATGAGGCCGTATTGGGGATGCCACGAAGGCGAGGTTTTCCGAGCGCGCGCTTGAATCAGCGCCGTTGTCATTATTTTTATGACGGGTTCGTAGTGGCGGAAAAAAATCATCAAACGTTAGATGTTTTGCCCTTTTGCGATCGAAGAGAGCCTAACCCCCTTCAATGAAAATAACCGAGCAAACCTCTATGGTGAAAAAAGTGAACTGAAGTTTTCCGGTGTGTCTATTTTGAGAGAAGACGCGAGAGAACCTTAAGTTAAATTCCTTCCCCGCAGTCGTCCTAGTCCTCGAATCTTAAGGTCTCTAATAGTTATCCCAAAGTTAAGCATGTCCAAATTCTTCAACGAAAACAGCTTTATAGTGCATTTCGATACGGCACTGACTCAGTCTTAATCGCACCCTAAAAATGTCAAGTCTCTAATTCGTTAATTTCATAAGAAGGAATTGAATGCAAGTTTAACAAATTTAGAGAGTTCTTTAAACTTCGTCAAAGAACTTCAGTATTATAATTAAGAGTTCGATCTTCAGAAGCCTCTGATTTATCAAGGCTCCTGGCATGTTTGGCATAACCTACGCCAAAGACGCACTAAACTCCCTCTGCATCTGCGAAACAGCGCTCAGATCCTTGTTCTGGGCCTACACTTGTGTACCAAGATTTGAGTACGCGCCATGGTTGGTTTGTTAAAAAAGCCACTGTGGATTCGATAATTCGTTGAGTCCGTTGGGGCCCTGAAGAAGGATCTCGGCGCTGCTTCGCAGACGTTACTAACCGAGGTTAAATTATGTACTAGTTTGGCGTGGAAATAATGAACTTACTATAGGTAATAGCATGATTTGTAGTGACATTTGGCATAAATACCACGAGTGATATTTCGAAATTGTCATACGAAATTTCACAAGCCGTTAGGCGAGTGAAATTTGAGACAATTTTGAAATATCACTCGTGGTATTTATGCCAAATATCACATACAAATCATGCTATTATTTGTTTCTACTACTACCTGCAAAAGGTTAGTAATTTTCACA